ATAAGAATTTAGAGTTTTAATATTTAGTAGATTTAAATAAATTGCAATTATTTATATTATAAACTAATTTAGAAGCTGTAAATATAATTAATTTATTTAAATTATTTTTACAGAACACGCTAAATATTAATTTGTTTAATCAATTGATATTTAAAATACTATTTCTATATAATTCATTATGTTATCTCTTTATTAATTCTGCTTATTATAAGATATTATTAAACATAATTATTATATGAATATGTGGTTTATAGAATGATAAGCCTAGTAAAGTTTTAATCTGCATGAATAAATGTTATAATTTATTTATAAATATTAATTCGTTGCTCACATTAAACCAAATTTTCTTATTAACATTTGACAGAATATTTTAATTTATATAATAAATATTTTATACAGTTTTCAATATAAAATTTATAATGTGCAAACTTTTAAAAATTGGATTCCAATTAAAAAACATTTATATCTTTTTTAATAAAACTTAAGATTTTCATTAAATTATTAATAAATTTTGTAGATTTTATAATTAAATACAAAATAATTTATATTACTGTAATTATATTATCAATATATTAGATTCTTAAACGTAATAGTGAGTCTCATTCGTAAACCAACAAATTTTATTTAGCATATTCTGTCAATAAGATTAAATAAATTAATTATATTTACAGCTTGTACGGTTTGTTTATTATAAATGTCTAATATTAAAATTAAATGTCAAATAATTTTTGAAAGATCAAGATACTTAATAATATTGTTAGACTTGGATAGCTTCGGGTCCAAACCTAAACTCTTCGTTAGCCGTGGAATCGCATCTTAGCACCTGTCGGTCACTCCATACTTCACTTACACACACTTTCACACAATAAATAGTAGCCATAAGTTTTAATAAAACACTATTTTATTCAATAACATTATAGACAAGTGCTTGGTTCGAAGCTCTATGCGATTCTGTCTAAGAATAGCAGTTATTCTGCATTTAAAGGGTTAGAGATTTGACGTCAATTGGCATACCTTTCCCTTTATGGGCCGGTATGCTTTCCTGACGTAAGGGTTAATTCTATCGTAATATTCTATAAATAATTCGCTGTCTAAACGGACCTAACAATATTATAAATCATTTAAGCGTACGTTTATTGGATAACAAAGTTAATCATTATCTAAGAATTAATATTAATATTTTAAAAATACATAACCAATTACCGGGATTTATCAAATTCATTTTTAATTTGTGTTAACATTCTTAAACACTAGAAACAAAGTAATATTAGAATTAAAGCAATACTATTTGTTGTGAAAATTATATGTCGAAATTATTTTAAAAAATTTACATAACAATATGTTACATGAATATATCATATTTTAAAATTAATAATAATTTAACCCAATATATGTTTAAAGTGATTAATTAGTGATTGGGATAGAATCATAATCGTACTAAAATTAATATGATAAATTTATATAAATAAATTTATAAATGTTAATTTTTTGTTAGCTGTGGTCAAAAATTTTCTTATTAAAATTTTATACAATATTTTAATTTATATAATAAATATTTGTTACAGTTTTCTATATGAAATTTATAATGTGCAAACTTTTTACAAAAATTAAATACCAATTGAAATTGTTTTTTAAATCTCTGTTAATAAAATTAAAAATTCTAATAAATTATGTAAATTACATAAATTTTATAATTTAATACAAAATAATTTGTATCAATCTTTTGTAATTATGTTATTAAATATTTAAGGACAGCAAAAAAGGGCGATCTGGAGCTTTCTTCACAGAAAAAACAATTTTCTAATTCATTTTCACAAATATTAAAGTTGTGTTCAAAGCAATGAGTCAAACATTACTTTATCTTAAGTTAAGTTTTTTCAGTGAAGAAAGCTCTAGATCGCCCTTTTTTGCTGTCCTTATAAATATTATAGATTAATTTAAGATTTCGTCTTCAGTAAACCAACCAATTGTAATCTATTGTATTTTATAAAATTAATTTATATAAATTAATTATATTTACAGTTTCTAAATTAGCTTATAATATACATAATAATGTGTTAATTTTTTTTTTAAAAATCAGATACTATTATATTTGTTTGGCACCTTTAATAATTAATAACATTTATTTTATAATTCTTGATTATAAATTCTTTAAACATATGACTATTAGATAACAAAGTTACGCGTTATACAAAAACTACAATTAATATTTTAACATTACAACAAACTCACAATTATTAAGACAATGAATAACAAATACTCATAAAATCACATTATAAAAATTTATTTAATTAATGTTATTTTTAATAAACATTATATATTTGACTATCACCATAATCAATTATTTGCTTGTTGGAGCCGCAACTGACTTACCAACGGGTAATGTGGCTATCGATGTGCTAGACATTAATATGGCATGGTCCAGCAAAAAATACAGTTAAGTTACATGGCCATGCATGGCGTGTGAACTATGGCTCAAATAAAAAATGCATTTAATCACAATGACCAATATTTATAATCCATTATGAAAATATATGTTAACTAAATTTGATAATAGTTTTGCTACAGTTTGACAAAACCAAATAGTAATTCAAAATAACTTGATCAGTTAACCTATCATTGTTATGCAAATGAAATAATCTACATTTATATAATGTACAATAAATTATTTGATAATAGTATTTTAATAAAACCGTTAAGTACCAAGTTTAATAATTTTTAAAACCATATAAATTCTGTAAATCTCTAAACTTGAACAAAAAAACAATTTATGCATCACATAGATTCCTCCAATTATGATATTTTTTATTTGACCAAAAATAATTACGCTACAAAAATACTATTTAGGTACAGTTTATTAATATAACAATAAGGTCGCAAAATTTAATTAATAATTTACTTATCACCATAATTATTTATTTGCCGGTTGGGGCCGCAATGGACGTACCGGCGGGTAACGTAGCTATCGGTGTGTTGCCGGACATCAATATAGTCGGACCGTTAGTCTGCGGCTGTTGGCCAGTAATCTGCGGCACGTTATTAGCGGCTGCGGGTATGGGTTGGGCCGCACCCGTGTCGAGGGGGCCGTTGGGTGTGTTAATGCTGCGGTTGGGTAGAGTTCGGGCTACGGGTGTATTGCCATTGTATAACAATATGCTACCATCGGACAGCTTTTGCACCGCGGTCACTTGTGGCAAGTTTGCTGGTGTTGGGTTAGTTGGGGTCGGGTTTTGTGTAGGTGGATTACCGCCGCCATAGGGTCCGCAATATCCGGCCTCCGATGCTATGGCTATGGAAATATAATTTAATAATTAATTTTTTTAATTAGATTATAAATAAATTAATATTTACCTAGACTAGCGAGAACGACTGTTAAAACGAGTATTTTATTCATAATTTTTAATTAAGTTTGTTTTGGTTTTAACAAATAATTAAATTTTTTAAATAAGTGATCGACGCATTTATACTTTTTTGGTGAATGGTAAAAATTATAATATAACAGTATTTAATTAGTAAATGATATTATAATTACGATTAATTGTTAAATATAATAATACAATTTTATTAGTTCGGTCGGTCTCTTAAACGTACTAGGCAACATAATTAATTTGTTCATTGTTGTCATCAAAACATATGTTGGTAGAGTAACCATAATTTATATAAGAATTTAGAGTTTTAATATTTAGTAGATTTAAATAAATTGCAATTATTTATATTATAAACTAATTTAGAAGCTGTAAATATAATTAATTTATTTAAATTATTTTTACAGAACACGCTAAATATAAATTTGTTGGTTTATTACATTAATGTTTTGTAATTTAATTAATTATTACAATTATTTATATTATTTATTTAGTTTTGTTATTTATAAAACAAAACTTATTGTTTACAACTTTTATTATTTTAAGCAAATTATATTACGTTAAACAATTCAGTATACAAATTGTTTTTAATAACTAAACTCTGCTAGATTGATTATACCTCTAAAATAGAGACATTAGTACAATTCTAAATTTACCAGACCCATTTGTTAATCCTACCCTAGTTCCGTTTAAAAATATTTATGTACTCAATTAATTATAATCTTGGTCAAAAAACTGTAACTGTATAAATATTAATCATAATTTTTAAAGTGACCAAATAAGTATAAAAGGTGGGTCAAAATTTTTATTTTTTCATAAATAATAATCAAACTAGTAATAAAATCACTTATAAAATAAGTGTAATAACATAATTAGTTAACAATGGTTAATGTAACAATTATTGTTTTACTGGGCGCATTAAGTATGTATTTAATCATAAACATTTACATTATTATATAAACTGCCTAAACTAATAAATTTGTACTAAACCCCAACTAATCAATAGCCGTATTGAACGCCACTCCCATCGATAAGCCTGAGTCGAGATTTTGCGGCGGTTATGGTTACGGTGGTTATCCCTACGGATACCCGTATTACCCTCGACCCCAACCCGTTCCTCGACCCGTTCCCCAACCCTTTCCGCAACCCATGCCCGCACCGGCTCCGGCACCAGCTCCTGGACCCATCACGTGGCCCATTACGGTAATTGGCGGTAATAACGGTACCACACCCACCAACGGCACCGCACCTACCAATGGTACCACTACCAACCCAACTGGCCCAGTGATTCTACCAGCTTTTGTATAAAATACCTATAGTATACTAAATACAAACGGGTGAAGAGTGACCATGACTTAATAATAAAAATTATTAATTAAAATATGTTTTATTTAAAATAAGATAATTAAGATTTTTTCACTGTATAAATTATATGTTAATTTTTTTTATATATTAATTACTAAAAAACAATTTCGAGCGTCAGTCTGCCAATATTATTTTAAAAATTTTGGATGATAATAACATATAATAGCAAGAATTTATATTACAGTTTATTTTGTTTTTTATATTTACATTTATTACATTTGTGTAAATGGTTTATAAAAGTGTATAATTCACAGGTAATCGTTTATTAAATTAATAAACACATATATTAAAATAAGTAAATATATTTATAAACTTGAAGATTTATATAATATTTAGTATTATTATTCATTTAGTAAACTAATTGCATTTTCTTTAATAATGTAAAGTTGTTATTTATTTTGACGTTTATAACTATTAATAATCGGATCAAAATTATCAAGTGTTTTAACATTATATAATGTTATATTATACGCAAACACACGTCATGTAAATTAATAAGTTAGAAAGTGATCATAACAATTATAACCTAAAAATTACAATAATAAAAATTTGATACAGTATTTGTTTAATAATTAATTATTTAAACATGGTCAGCACAAAAATAATTGTATTTATCGGCTTATTTGGTATGTAATACTTATTGCTACAATAAAAATAAACTCAAAACATTATAACTAGCTTAATACTTTTACCATATGTTAAGTATAATTTACATTTATTAACATAATAGCCGTTTTACACGCAATTCCCGTCGATAAGCCTGAGTCCAAATTTTTATTCGGGTTTGGTTTCGGGGGTTTCAATCCATTCCCGTTTTTTGGATACCCGTATTTCCCGCAAACAACCCCCGAACTCGTTTCGTGGCCAATCAATATGATGGGTCCTAATGGCACTGTACTGGCCAACAGTACCGCACCTATCAATGCCACGGCACCGGCGGTACCAACTAATCCCATACCATCAGCGTTGAAAATTGAGCCAGCTAGCTTGGTTGTGCCTTGGACAAATGGTGATGATAATACTGATACTGATTATACTATTGTTAATTGAAATAATTGTAAAGTAATTAAATTTTAATGTTATATAATTTTTGAATTATGAATCAATTTAATAAATATAATAACATGCTATTAAAATAATAAAATGCATGATATTTTTGTAATTGTTTATCTATGACTTTAAAATGCAAATAATATTAATTTTCAAACTGTAACAAAATCTAATTATTAGTTTATCGAATAAAAGATATAATAAATTATCATATTTTGGTTGTATTCTATCGCGATTTTAAATTATTATTTTTTAGTATTATAAATCATGATATATTTATAATTTAAAATGTTACAGCTGCCATTTACTTTAATACCAATGTTAAATAGTGTTAAATTGATAATTATCAACACAATATGCAGGCAATCTAGGTAATTGCCTTTGCCAACATCTACTGGTACGTTTAATTATTAATTATTTTATATAACAATTAAATTATAAGTATGATTATATTTTATTTTAAACTTTATAACATTAACTTAAAAATGTAACAACTTATTTTAATTAATTGTTTATTTAAAAATATTATTTTATTCCGTTTACCAATTTATTTAATAAGGATTCCGTAAATATACAATATATTTAACATACTGTACATGTACTTAACTTGTATAAAAACATATAAGAAAATTTTTGTTTATAATTTTGTTTATTTAATATTTTATAAATGTAATTAAATTTATATAAAATAAACAAGTAAATTACAATTTAAATAGTATATGTTTAAGATGTTGTCTGGTGCCACGTTTTTTGGTAACTTTACAATATGGACAGCATTGGCATAAACTCGGTTGACCAGGGGTGAGCTTTGAATTTGGGATGTAATCGCATCTGGGTTGAACGCATAATAACCTCGAGCATTTTTCTATGCATCTAGTTATTGTATGATCCTCCTCGTATACAAACAATTTCTTTGAACAAACAATAGATATAAATGTGCATAGTACAATAGTTGAATAAAATGTCATGTTTGTTTTGGATTTTATTTAAAGTGTAAAATGCAAATATGTTCCACTAATTGTATTTTAGACCTTATTGCAATTCTAATTAAAGAAAAAGTTACAAAAACAACTTTTTAATATAATTTATAGTTTCATAATACTCTAAATGTTATAATGATAATTTTTGTTATAAATACTCATAACAAAGTAAACATAAAAACTGGGTATTTTATGAATTGTTTATTAATTTCCAATGGCAAAATATTGCCAATTCATCTATCATGTTAAATTCAGATAGGCAATTGAAATCAAATAATACCACCTAATAAAATTAATAAAACACTTACAATATATAAAATTTTAATTTTGAATAAATTAAAGAAATCAACTAGTATGATATTTAAGTTATTTTAATTAAATTATATATTTAATAAAAATTTATATAATATGTCTGCTCACCCTAACCAATAATTATAATTAAACAAAACAATATGTATTGACAAAATTTAATAATTATCATGTTACAGTTTTATTAAAAACAAATATTTATTTAAAAAATAACTTAATCAACTAATCTATCTTTATTGTGCAAATTGAATAATTTATGTAATGTGCAATAGATTAGTTAATAATAGTGTTTTAAAAACTAGTTAACTATAAACCACAAAAATCTATTAAATCCCTATTCATGGGAAAATAAAAAATATGTTTAACTGTAATTCCCCAAAAATTATATTTCTTTATGAGCATGGTAATTACGTTATAAAAGTATGATTTTCTTACAGTTTATTAATATAACAATAAAGTTGTGCTAAATATTGACTATTTTATCAAATAATATTTGTAATTAAATAAATTAAATTATATTATTATTATTATTAAATATTTTCTACATTAAAAACAAAACCTCTATAAATCTTAATAAATATATTTCAATTTTATCAATTTATAATTATTGCATTTTTGATAATTAGTTCAAAAAATTTAATTAAAAATAAATAATTATACAAGTAAGTAATTCTCTTGCAACAGAATTTCATTACATTATCAATATTAATTATCACTCGAATAAATACTGCAATATAGTACAATGCATGCACACAATGTACTGCATTGTAATTATTGATAAAACTTATGCAATAACTTTTATAGTGTTCATGTAATGTCTAAGTACAACATGTGCATAGAACCTTTCAAATATTAGATTATACAAGATAAAAGTTGCACCAAAGGGATATCATTGTAATCGTGAATTTATATAGATTATATTTTCTTCAATTACTATAAAATAAAAATATTATTGTTATAATCTTTATTATTAACAAGTCATAATTAATTCATTTGCTTAATTATTCTTATAGAAGTGTCAGTAAAAATATATTTTATTTTGCATATTATTGCTTATATTCTAATAAACTATATTGCAACATTATAAAATTAATTGTGTTTATATTTGAAGTGCTTATCTTTATATTTATATTTAATAAATAAATAAATTGATAAAAATATTTACAAATCCAATCACCAAAAACCGCAGACATATTTAGTATGTATTTATTAATCAACTTAATTGCACTCTCGGTTATTGTCCAATACAACGGTGTGTCCCACGGCTTACAGGACCGGCCATTGGTTGGCCTATTGGCACAGGAGTATTGGGCTCCTGGGGCTGTAAATCAGTCACATATAGCGGCCAGTTATGTGAAATACTTGGAGAGCGCCGGCGCTCGGGTGGTATGTATTTAAAAATTTTAATATCTAACATCATTATAAATTTTATCATTATTAATATACATGTATAAATATTGAATACTGGTTAATTAAATAATTTTAAATTCATGTTAAAATGTTATCCCAACTACAGGTGCCTGTTATGATCAATGAGACGGAGCAGTATTACAAACAGATTATTGCGGAGACAAACGGCCTGTTAATACCGGGTGGAGATCAAAATTTGCGCACAAGTGGTTACGCCATAGCAGGCGCTCATCTAGTAAAATATGCCCATGCTAATGCCAGCCGTCCGTATCCCATATGGACCACGTGCTTAGGTTTTGAGTTAGTAGCGCTGTTAATGTCTAAATTACCAGCACTGGGCTCATGCGATACTAATGATGTTGCCCTTCCACTTAATATGACCATGGGCTTTAAGGAAAGCAGAATGTTTTCTGGTGTCAACCCCTCTATTGTTAAGGTAAATATTAATTTATGATTTAGCTTTGTAAATTTAAAACTATAATAATTAATTATTAATTAAAATAATTGTATAAATAATTGAATATACAGCTAAAAGAAATGTACTTTTATATTAGAATTTTTATTATTATGTATATAAACAGTAATAAATACGATAATAGATCATTTCATTATATGATGTGTCACAATATATTTAATTTTGGTATATATGTACCGAGACCGGCATTGTAAGTACTTACGAATTGCTTGCAATACACCAAGTACAGTTAACTCTCAGTATATAATCAATAAGCGTTTCTCATCTTATTACCCGATTGAATAACACCATCACTTTTGTT